TGATTTCAAAATCCTGCTCTACCCCCTATAGCACTCTCCTTTCTTCTCTCAATTTAAGCACTCTGGAACATTGACATAAGAGATCAAAGCTTTTATTCTTTTATAAAATCAACAATGGACTCACTCACTCAACTCTTTCCCTTACTCCACACCCTCCCCCTCCACCAATGTCTCTCCGTCACTATTGTCCCTATAATTATATTGTCCCTTTCTGTGGTACCTCCTCCTATTGCCTCTCCTCCCTTCTATCTACCATTAGACTTTGGAACTCTTTCCCAAGTAAAATCAAATAATCAACTTCTATCTCTTATCTTAAATTCTATCTGGACTGTAAATTTTGATTTAGCTTTTGATTTTTATGGTATCACTTCATCATGTATTTATTCTTTTTTTAATTAGCATCAGCTATTTATTCTTTCAAAAAAAAGAATGAGTGAAGTTCTGCTTGTATCAAAATCTATAAAGAAGAAGCATGAGGATAACTTTCGAAGGAAAAGTATACAGCTTAGACGCATATGCTCAATATGAAGAAGTTTGACTCTTAGGACACACCACCAAATAAATCATTTTAAAGTCTAAAGTTGCTGGAACTGGGGGTGGTACTAATTTACAGTAAGTCCAGGAAAAAGAATAACCTACCGATTGGCCATTCTGAATAATGTCAAAACCTTCTAATACTACTTGCTTTGCATTTTATCTACAATGTACCATGTGTGCATACAAATCCAATCCTCACCCCCTCAACCACGCAAGAAGATTTGGTTGTATCACAAAACTGACATTAATTTTATCAATGCTAGCCTAGATGAAATCAAATATTATCTGATGATGTCAACCACTCCTGGTCCTCATTCATTCAATAGTTCATCAGTTTATTTTATTTAAGACAAAACAAAACCAGACATACCCTCCCTGTCTCCCTCGTCCCTTCCTGCAGAAAATAAAGCAGTGTTGTCTTTTCTCCCATGCAAGCTTCATCCTCCAATTCTCCACAACTGTGGCTACAGTATAGGTCCCTACATAACAGTACCTCCTCTGTTATCAGGTATAATAAGGCTTGTTATTTCAACTCAATCTCTAAATTTCCAAGGCAATTTTGGTCCTTTGTATGTTTCCTTAGACAGAATAAAGACCCAATTCCTCCCCATATAGAAAAACCAAAGTTTGTAGCATGATTGTGGCAATCTTGTAACATGCTGTTGTCACTACCTAGTCACAACCTTGTAAAAACCTTGGATTTGGCACGTTTTTTGGCTTGTGACAACCTTGTCACAACCTTCTCACAATGTACAATGAATTTAATAGATAACTATAATCTGAAAGACTATCAACATGCATATAATAATTATTAACCTCTTAATCCCATGTAGTTTCAAATGATTTCTAGATACTTGTTATGTATCTATGATAGATGTAG